AATGCAAACATCTTTGCAGAAGCATCTGGTAATTTTTTTAAAACAACGTTTAGTGCTTTCATATGCTGGTTGTAGGGGAATCAACCGTGTATTTTTCCCCTTAGAAATTCCTCAAGTCTCAGAGACATACTTCAGCTAAAACCTTGTTTTTAGAAATAAATGATTTTTACTGTCGAGGCAGTAAGAGGCTTTGGGGATGCTCATCTGATCTGTAAAATCATGAAAAAACACTCTACTTTGTGCACTTTTCAGTTATGTTTTATGTTTTCAAAAGCATTTGTTTAGCTTTCTAATGGTCCTTGCCTGTGCAATAGATTTATGGGTTGTTTTTATACATAACATCTGCCAGTCAAGTGACTATTTTAACTGGAAGTTAACTAACGGGGCTTTCGAAAGAAAAAAATTCAGAACAGCATCCCATTTGATAGAAAAACAATACAACATGGCAAATGTGATCCAACAAATGCTGGGCTCAATTAAGCTATAATTATTTTTAAGCAAGTTTTGTCTACCAGTACAATGTAATTCCGTCTATGACACCCCATGCCACTTTCAAGCAGATGAAAGAAGCACTTGAAAAGTCTTTCTTTTCTTTTTTGGTCTTTGGAGTCCATTTTCTCTATAGCTGTTTCCTTTAAGTGTATATTTATGTCTGCTTTTCACTGAGGCCGCAAACCTGAGGTGGCCTGTACCTCTTCAGTTATCAAAAGGGCACTCTTCTGTACAAACATTTCCCTCTGCACAGAAAATGTGCATGATAGGCTGGAGGTTAAGCTAGAACCCTTTCCTCTCAACAAACTAATTTTCTGGGTGGAGACAGGTTACCTCTATGTCATGAACCATGCTTTCCCCTCCCAGCAGTAATATTCTCACCAGTGTTTCTTTGCCAAATGTATTTATTTTACACGCAAGTCTCTGAGCATACACAAAGCGAAATGTTGAACTCCCTGACATTCTTCAGCCAAAGCTTTTCTGTCTGTCCTTGCGGGAAGGAATGCTGTGGAACAGGGCATGCCTACAGTCCTCTCTCTGGGATCCCAGTGGGGCCACCCTACAGCTGTGACAACAGACTATCGTGTCCACCTCCTCAGGAGGCTGGAGTTCCCCATCCAATAGACTCCTGATCTCTAAATCTCCTCCTTCAAGATGTTGTTGCTCTTCCTGTTCTCACAGGTGGGTGGACGGGCCCCCTCGGCTACCCTTGAACTCATCTCCCCTGTTAGAGGCCCGGGGGGGGGGGATACAGGGCCTTGGGCTGCAGCTGGAACTGGGCCCATCATCTCGTTAACAGGGTCTGGGCTGTCAGTCCCTCCAAAGCAGGCAGCCTCCCCTGTGCCCACCTGAGGTTTGCACACCACTGTATTTCAACACAGTGGACCATGCGAGCTCTCCGCCTGCATTCTGGAGTAATGAAGGTTTTATCCCTTTGCACCTGAGTTCGGCACTGCCTGGTGTGGTTACCCCAAATATTTGGGATGACAGCTTTCCAAATCCCTAGCCATTGGCCCTCCTGGCTGAAACACAGAAACTGAGCCAGTCAGAAGGGGTCTCCCGGGCCATCTAGTCTGACCCCCTGGCTCCAGCCAGCTCTGCTCATGACAGGCCCACCATGTGCATGTCTAGGCTATCCTTGAACACCCTTGCCAAAAAGTCTTGAAATCTGGAGGGCAACAAGCAGGGAAGGGCTGATTTAGTCTACGGATTTCATCCAACCACTCGGTGCTAAGGAATTAAGACCAAGATGAATACAGAGGCCAATTCCTTGCCCAGCTGGCATTTCGGGTCAGCTGCAGAGGCTTAAGGCAAAAGGTACTGATGTCTTCAGCTTCCAGGATATGCCGAGGAGCTTGCCAAACTTGATTAGAAGCACAACAGGGCATAAGGGTTAAGTCCCCGCTGCAGTGGTGCCGAAATCTATTGGGGTCCCCCATAGCTGTTCATTAAACAAAAACACAATTGTGCAACTGCCAGGACGGCTTCCCACACCTTCCTCCCACCAAAAAACAACTTCCTGTTTGTAAGATGCAACCACAGCTGCAAAAAACAGTCCCAAATTGGGCCACTTCCAGATATTTTGAATTCATGACTTTTTTAATGGAAAGACAGGACATACCCATGCTCAGTCCCTCACAGCCAGTAGCTAAATGGACCCCAACACCCCCATCACAACACAGATACATGGGATGGGGCAGCTTAAGGCTCCTGCTGCCCCAAAGTGGGGATAGCATGGGACCCCTGGCCAGCTTGGCGTGTGCTCCGGGCACGTGTGTGTATCCACGTCCCTGATGTCATGGCAGGTTCTCGACTTGGAAGAGGAACCGGCCTCAGAAATGGAAGGGCGGAGCAGGAACCCTGAATTCCTTCAAGAGGAAGAAAGGTGGGATGCAAACGCAAGGGGAGACGAGCAGCCGCCACTGCTTCCAGTATGGCAGGCAGCCACTTACCCCTCAGATCATGCTTATCGGTGCAGTTTGTGTGGCTGAGACAGCTCTGACTGCAGACGAGTGGGAAAGACTGTCATTTCCATGGCCCGCTGTCAACGTTCTGGAGAAATCTGCTGGAGCCAAAGCAGTATGGATTTGAGCCAGTGAGACAATTCTTACGTAACTTGCCTCTGTGTGCACTGCAGGAGTGCGTGTGCGTGCACAAGAGAGCCCAGAAACCCCTCGTCCAGCCTAGCCCTGTTGTGGGGAAAGGAGTTTCTCTTTCCTGCAGAAAAAGCAGTGCCAGATAACCTCTTCTCAGTTCCCACATTAATCAGCCTGATGTATATACAAGCACATGTCAGCTGTGGGGGAGGCGCAGTTCTCACTCAGAGCCCGCTCTGCACATCTGAGGAGGAATTACCCAGCTTGCCACACCGGCCCTGGATACTCAGTGAGGGAAGTATTCACAGCTCACCCTGGAGCTCTCCCCTTCGGGCACGGCAAGAGACCACCTCTGGGCAAAAGCAACAGGCTGGTCAAGCTCCGCTCCAATCTGACGAGTAAGCGAAAGGGTGACTCAAGGTTAGGTCATGCCATGCGTTTCACCTGGGGAGCCACCAGGCACACCTTGCAGGGATGACTCATCAGCCGGAACGTCAAGGGAATTTTGTAGTGTTACATCTCGGTGTGTTACGCTTCTTGAGAATGGACGGGAGCACTCACAGCTCATCTGTTCGCTGAAGTCCAGAATTTGAAAACACAGGCAGAATTCGGCAACTTGGATCGCTTGATTCTTGGCTGTTTCTCTCTTTTTAATGCTAGCCCTTGCTTACCGATGCAAATTGTGGCTTGAAAATGGGTAGGAACTTTCAGGGAAAAAACAAACATCCAAGAGGATTTCCAACAGAAAGGGGCTTCAGAGCTCCAGGCCTCTTTCTGCAATGACTACAAGTGTCCTCAATTACGCAATGTATGCATGAGTATTACTATATTGCTCATAGAATGTTAACTTCTGAATAAAACTACAGTGGTGCCTCAGCTCACGAATGCCTCAGTTCACAACCAAATCAGGTCGCGAGCAAAAATTTCATGAAAATTTTGACTTGGGTCGCAAACTCCGCATTGAGTGGGGAGATGGCCATGCTCACAGTTGCGTTTGTGCAGGGAAGACGCGTGTGATCACAGGTGCGCTCCTGCAGGAAAGACTGGCGCGATCTCGGCCATCTCCCCACCCCACCCCACCCCACCCCGAATGACTATACAAAAAACAGGTGACTATAGGCAGATTTTTCACCAAAATTGACCCTGCAGCTAGGAGACAAAGAAGAGAGGAAACCTCTGAAAGAGATCTCCCCAGTGTCCTTATGGAGGGGGACTCTCCCTCAAAACAATAACCTCCCCTCCATCTAGGTTAGTGTTCTCCACCGTACTGTACTGTAGTTTGTTACTTTGTTGCTCTTTGTCACTTTGTTTCAAATTTTTCTGATAAAAAAAATAGTTAACAGAACTGAGTAACCTTATTTCCATTGACCCTTATGGGGAAATTTGACTTGGGTCACAACCAATTTGGGTCACAACCAGAGTTGTGGAACAGATTAAGGCCGTGAGCCAAGGTACCACTGCATACTATGCAGCAAAACTATGACTTTGGGCACATATGAAGTACCTTTACAACTTGGTCCTTATAAACGAAAGGGATGATCGTACCTAGAGTGATTCCAGGCACTTGCAGTCACATCTCAGAGGGCATGAGCCCGCAGCCCAGCCCAGGGCACCGATCCCCGTGAAACAGAGCACTTGCTGCATGCTTCGGTAAAGGCAGGAGCCTGTGCCAGGGAGAAGAACACCCAGTGGTTGCAGGAAAGGGTCCAGGCTGACAGTGCAGAAGGAATCTGTCAAGGGGGCAGGATCTCCAAAAATCTGGGCTACAAATGAGACAGATGGGAGTGGGGAACCTCTGGCCTGGGGGTGGGGGGGCAAATGCAGCCCTCCAGGGGACACAGTCTGGCCCCCTGGAACCCCTGGCTTCTTTGCGGGCGTTCCCCTCCTTCTAAAAGGAACTGGCTTTCTGCTACAAGGTGCCACCCTGTCTGGCATTTCCGGCCCCACTGCTTCGGCCTGCCCCACCACTGTTATGCTCCCCACAACCCGCTCGCACTTCTCCAAACTTGGATTTGGCCCTGAGAGCAAAAGAGGTTCCCCACCCCAGCCCAACAAGCCAGGTTACCCGAGAAGATTGTGGCCAACATTTTCTGAAGTCTCAACCCATCTCCAGCAGCTGCACCTTGGATTTTGGGCACGCTGCAACAGCACAGTATCCACTCTCGCTCTGGAAGGACACCCCACCGAGATCCAGGGTTCAGCATCATCACTGATCGGTGGGGAGGGGGAACAGGTGAAGACCCCAGGAGTGTGATTCAGCCAGAAGAGTAAGGCACGGGGTGGAAGGGTTGGAGCAGCAGGAGCAGCAGGGCTAATCAGGAGCACGCCTTGGTGCAGCGATGCGCCCTCAGTTATGCTAAGCCACCAAGATACGTTCTCGCTGGCACTCTGCATCTAAGGACAAGCCGAAAGTTGCTCAGCCAAATCTTCCTGTTTATTATTCGTTCAAAGATAAGATGACAAACAGTGCTATGGACTAGGAGACTCCTCCTCCTATAGTTGCTGGTCCCGCTGCACAGTCTGACCTCTCATATTTCCATCACTGAGGCCAACACAAGGCACTCTGGTCCTTCTAGGACAAGGTAAGAGTGAGCGAGCTTTTTGGCAACAGTTGGGTGCGTCTTGCTGTGTTCACAGGAAGAGAATTCAAGCGTGACTGTGGCACTCGGCCCGATCCACAACTGCTGCCAGCTGTGTCCTCCCTCCTCTCCCGACACACGGACAATGTGAACCTGACGACGGCTCAGGGAATACTCCAGTCATGTTCCTGTCACTCTCTGTTTCTGGGCTGCGATGCGACGGAAGACTGCAGGGAAGGTCTTGCCTCCATTCCTCTGGACCTTTTTCCCTTCCTCAGTGGAGGTTCCCAGAAGTTCAAACACAGGATCGCTGGCCTGTTGGAGGAAAAAATGTGGGAAATCACCACTCGGTATGCAGTCATATGACATCTCAAATGGCTTTTGCTGGCCCAGAAGTCCTCTAGAGAGGCAGCAGCAAGAGTGGGCAACGTGTCCCCAGATGTGTGGCTGGGAGTTCCGGCCCAACATCCCAAGCCCCTCAGCTTGCCTATCCCTGCATCAGCAGGGCAACAGACGGCCCCAGTGTGGGGACCGGCAGGTGGTCCAGCCACCAGGGACTTTCAGATCACCCAATGGAGCAGCTTTCTTTACAAAGGTCTTTTCCCCCCGTTTTGCCACGACTTCATAGATATGGGCAGGTGAACCTGCAAGCCTGTTCCATAGGTACCTCTGAGACAGCAATCCTGTGCACACTTACCTGGGAGTAAGTCCCACTGAACCCAGTGGGACTTGCTTCCAGGTACTGTGGATCTTCTATGTCCCATCCATCTCATGCCAGATGTATCCCAAAGAACCCTGTGCAGAAAGGAACCCTGGAAATACTCATTTCTGGACTGGGGTTCTAGAGCAGAGCCCTGTTCTGCAAACTAATATTTCTGCTAGGTCCTGATTCATTTTCTGACACCCAAGGAACTAGCAGTGGGTCCTGCTGGCACAGTGGCAGGCTCTGATTTTGCCAATGTGACTTCTCCATCAATATGGTCAGGGAGAGGCTCTTCCCATTTCCACCACCTCTGTCCAAACACCCCAAACCTGTTTTTTATAACATCTCCTCTGAAAACTTCAAAAGGACACACATTTTTTGGAGCGTCTGCACTGTGATTGGCCTAATAAAGATATTCCACTAATATTCTGGGAGTGAATGTGTTTTAAGCATGTTAGCATATGATGTATCAAGTGCCAACCTTGCACTTCATTTCTTTTCCGTCTGTATATATTTAACACGTGATCTCTTTGGGCACTGTAGAGAAGAGTGCCTTTTATCAATGGTGCAGCTTGTTCAGACAGAGTTTCCTGGGCAGTGGATGCAACTTAAGGACCAACTGCGAATATAGGAAATGTTTGCATATTGATGGCTTCGAGAGCCACGTCTAGGACTGCCAGAACCATTACTTCTCACCAGCTCTGTTCGTGGCACTTGCTCAAAAAGGGGATGCTCTTGGAAATGCTTGACCATCCACTTGTGCATTTCTTCCACATCGGTGATGGTGTAAACCAGGCCCTGGAGGAGTGAAAGAGAAAGACAATGGGAACGAAAGACAAAGACAAGGACAAGTGCTGCCGTATCCCCCTCCAGTCTACTCTACTCAAGGCTAGGTGAACACAGTTCCTTCCATCTTTCCTTGCAGAATTCAGTTTCTAGTGCCCGATCTTCTTCACTACCCTCTGCTGAAACTTGTTCCAGTTTACCCAAATGCTTCTAAAAGAACGATGCCCAAAATGATGCAGATGTGGTCCTACCCTAAGAGCAAAGAACCGTTTCTTGTAGAGAGGGATGATCGACAGTGATGGGCAACTCTTTTCTGTCAAGGGTGACATACCAGAATGGGCAACCTGTCGGGGGCCACATGCCAGAGGTAGGTGGCCTCAGAGCCCCAAGTGGGCAAATTTCCCTGTTTTTCTTTCTGCCCAGCTTCCCTTCTCTCCCCACACCCGCTTTTCCACCCTGCGGGTTACCAGGGAAGGGACCAATTGCTGGATATCTGAATTGTTCACATTCAATTGTAAACCACCCAGAGAACTTTGGCTATGGGGTGGTATAGAAATTAGATGGACAGAATCCAAAAGACTTTTGAAATTAGCTGGTGGGCTGTGAGTTGCCCATCCTGCTCTAATAGAAACCTTCCAAGTCAGTGGAAAGGTGGACTGCAGAGTCCACTCCCAAAGTGACTCATTCCATACTATTTGAGGCCGAGATCCCTGCAGCCCGGGGCTCGGAAACGGCAGCTTCCATGATCACTCAGGAATGGGGCTGCCGTCACCACCACCACCATCATCCACAGGAAACATGCCAGCGTGCTGGGAGAGCCCTGCCCCATCCACTTCCACCTGGAGAACGCCTTGGGGAAATCTTGGAAGATCTGGGGGTGATTCACACCGTGAGTCCACATGCTTATTTGTCATGAAGATTAGGTCGGAGGGTTACAACCCAAAAACTGACGACAGATGCACACGGGTGCGTTCTCTTTCCCACCTAGCAGGTGAAAGCAGAGTCAGCCAGAGTGCCCGGAGGAAGCAGCTAGAAATCACAGATGCGCAACACTTTGCTTGCAAGAAGCTGTGCCAGCACGAGGCTTCTGCGAGATATAAGGAAAAGGTAATCCCAGCCCCTCCAGGAGCAATTAAGTGCCCTTCCCTTGTGTGAGGATTTGGAATTCCCAAATAATACAAAGAGCTTCATTTCCCCAGGCTCTAGGATGTGCTGACGCACACCTGGCTTCTGATAAGAAATTAATTAATTCCTGCAGTTGGAAGACGAAGTGGTTGGCTCCCTACAGCATGGGTTAAAAGCCACCCCCGAGAACGAGGACTGGAACTGGAGCGACTGGCAGAGCCGGACTCACTGCCGATGCACAATCCATGTGTGCATCCTTGTGGAATGTGAAGGAGGGAGGAGATTGTCTAGACTAACGGAGCCTCTCCGGACATGTGTGGTGGATCCGGGACTGCGGATGACCTCTCCTCCTGGGCATGCACTATCCCTGCAGCCCAGCCTCTTGCACCAGGCCAGCAGTTTTCCTACTCGACACCTTCAGGGGACCAATTCCACATCAACCCAGCTGCCATGGGAGCCTTGCAGGCTGCAGCAGTGTCTGGGGAGCTGTGGGTTTCCACGACACACGCTCAGTCTGTGGCTCCATCACAAGAAGCCACCTAACTGAGGCAATGGGGTCATCTGGCCTATTTCTTGTCTGCTACTGCGGAGGATAGACAGGGAAATATAGGCTGCGATCGAAGAAGGTGGTATCTGCACTTAGGCTCAGCCCAAGAATCTGTCGTCATCCATACGGCAGCCAAGTTCACAAGTCCTTTCACTGAAAAATCTACTATTTCCCCACCCACTTTGTTCTGATTTAGGTGGGAGTTTGATTTTTAACTCATTCTGCTTGTTAGACAAGTAGGAATCAGAAAACCCCACCAACCTAGTACAAATTCACATGCTTACCTGCTCTCGCAGAACATAGGCATATTCTGCCAGCAAGGTGCTGCTGATAATCCGCCACTTGTGTTTTGTCTTCTTGAAATGAGGGTCAGGGAAGAGGAAGAACATTTTGCACAGCTGTATTAAGAAGGGAAGGAAGGAATTAGTGCCAACCACCTGCAATTAAATACACAACCCCAGTGGTTAAGTCACTAAAGTTAATACAACATTTGGCATCTTCCTGACCGGTCCCCCTAAGAGATGAAGCCACATCTCAGTGGCAGTGTACAAACTGTGCAGCAACAAGGTCTAATGCAGGGTCTCCAGTCTTTCTGGATCTGGGGTACATTTGGGGATGTGATCAGTGGATATCCAATGTCTAATCAGGGGGGTCACTGCTTTGATGTGTACCTCTCACTTTTGAACATAAAGTTTTTTTAAATAAGGATTGTCTAATTCAGCTAAGCCCTGGTGATGCAATACAAAAAATGTTTCTTGGAAATGTATGTTTTGGTAAGGTTGTTCCTTCTTGGAAGGAGGTTATTACACTGATAAATCTTGTACTAGAACATTCATTAACATGCAGTGATGTACGTGTCTTTTTAAATTATTTACCTGCTTCAAGGAAATTAAGAAACAGAAGGGGGAAAGGGATTCTCTGAACACTTTTGACAGCTAAAAGACCAATGCTAAAAAAAAAAAAAAAAAACCCTCAAAGGATACTCATCTCCTCCAAAATGGTGGACTGAGCCACTTACACTTTTGATATGAAAATAGGTGGCATACAGACACCAAGTTCAAATCGATATTTACATAAATATTCAGTCTGTTTTTTGAATGTCATGTATAATTATCAGAAAATAGTATGCGTTCAACAGAAATCCATGCACATCTATTAAAATGCAGGTGTTGCTTTTTAAAAACTCAGGTACCCATTGGGCTGACAGTGCCAGTGCTCCCCTTTGGGAGCACCACTGGGGTGACTGCAGGTGTTACACTGGGGACGCCACTCCAGAGCTTTTCCAGTCACTGCTCCCATTTTACAGAATGCTCTGCCAGCACATTCTTCGGGTCCCAGGCGTGGCTGGATTTTAGGTAATATGTAAAAACACTGCTCTTTAAGAAGGCATTTGGTTAAAAGACGTAACAGTCCTTGGATGTGTGGTTTTGCTAGCCCTGATGATTAAAGGCTATTGTTATATCATCATCCTTATTTAGGTGGGGTTTTAACAATTGTCTTAAACATTGCTGACTTAATACTGTTAAGATGGCTTTAACTGCTGTCCATCTTGGGTTCCCATTCAGGGCAACAGGCAGGATACAAACAGTGTTGATAAACAGATTGTCCCTGAAATTCTAGTGGACGTATCCCATGCGTAGTCCTACTTCGTGTGGTTGCTATGTGCCACTGTCTCTCTGGCAACCCTTTGAATAAGTGCACTTCAAACGTCCTCTTGGAAACTTCAGGCTGTGCATCCTTTATGGAGTCAATCTATCTCAGAGTCGGTCTGCCTTTTCCCTTTCGTCCCTTCTTCCTTTCTACTTTCCTCCACATGGTCATCTCCTCCAATGAATCTGGCCTTCTCATGAAGTCTGAAAGCTTCAGTTCCATCATTATGGCACCAAGGGAAATTTCTGGCTCGGTTGGATCCAGAACCCACTTGCTTGTCTCTCTGTCAATCCAGGGTATTTCAACGCTCTCCTCCAGCACCGTGTTTCAAACCCATCACTGACTAACTTAAGTCGCATTCATCTAAAGAGAGCTGCTCTAACCCTGAATACAGCCCTAGGTTAAACCAGACTTCCTTAGCTAGTTGCCTTCCAGATGTGATGGACTACCCCGATGGGAGTTTGAGCCTAACACATCAGAAGAGCAACAAGTTAGGGAAGGCTGCTTTAAAAGAATTCTAGACAGCAAGCGGTGGAAGGTGCCTGGTGATCCTAAGCCTGTTAGAACAGACCTAGTAATAGGCTTCAACAGCCTGAAAGTACAAGGCAGCTTTATAAGCGATGTTAGTTTTGAAGGAACTCTCTTGAGAGTCACTGCTAAAGATCAATGAAGAAGCACCAGCTTTCCCTCTTGCAAGCAAAGGTCAGAATCTCAAAGGTAAAGGTTGGGAGCGAAACAGACTTCTTTAAAACGATAAGTGAACCTATTCCAGGTCTCAGAATGGGGTTGCAAGAATGCTTTGCCACCCACACAGCCTCCTGCAATGTACTTTGGAAACTCACCTGTCCCTTGTGGAAAAAGTTGGGCAGGTGTTTCATAGCATTGCTGCGAATGCAGGCAATGTTCTGGAACTGCCCAGGATGAGACGTTCTGAGTGACCGGATTCTGTCCTGCACATAATCGGAGACTTTCACTCGGATCTCCAGGCCCAGCATTAAAGTGTCGGGGAACAAGGGGGATAACGCAACTGCAAAAGAAAACCAGCAGCAGCAGCAGCAGTGAGGCTGGCATGAAGAGTGCTTATGTGTGAGAGGAGCTAGAGGAGGACCTGACGTCACGCACCAAGTGGTCCCCTTAAGGTATGGGTACTCAAACTATGGCCCGGGGGCCGGATCCGGCCCGCCTCAGAGGTTTTCAATGTGCCGCGTTTTGGACTCACTTGGAGAAAATCTCCGCCCCCACCTTGCCTCGCCTCCCCTCTCCGCGCATGCCCACGCACCCCGCTCCCATGCCGGCCCGCGCACCCTGCCAGCACCACCTTTCCAGCCCCAGCATCTTTCAACTGGCCCCAGGTGAAAAAGTTTGAGGACCCCCGCCTTAAGGCCTCATGCGGCTCTGCTCCCACGCACATGCATGAGCCAGGCCAAGGGGCACTCTTTTAGGCTCCACCCAGTTCCCTGCAAGCTTGCATTCTCTTGTATTAAAGTTTGAATTTTGTTTTTGATAACAGTAACAGTTGAAAAAAGACAGACGAGAGAGGAGAAATAAAAGTGGTGGGGGGGGAATAAAGAATAACAAAGAAATAGCAAGGAATCTTAAACAAGTATTACACAGAATATCAAATATTTAAAAATTTGCAGTAAGTCAGTGGCTATTATCCTTTCTACTTCGATCACATATTTTGAAATTCATTTGTTCATTTGAAATTCATTGAACATTCCTTCTAAATTACAATTCTTTAATTTCTTCTCCACTGAGCTTGACTCAACTTACTATAACAATGACACATCAATAAAAACATTAATCTCTAGCATATTCACAGAAGTTCTATTCCCAACATACTTTAAATTTATGAAGCACAAACACTTGGGCATCTCTTAATGGTTCACCGTTCACCGGCATGGACGTGACAGCAGGCACTGGCTTTTGCTTTAGAGCATAGCAAGTGCCTTGCTGGAGTTCAGCATTCTTGGCAAGGATCCCAGTTGGGCGAGGATGATAGGAGTTACAGCCTAACACATCTGGAAGGGCAGAGGACAGCTGTGCTAGGAGCTCCCTCTATGTGGCCCTGGTGCCCCCGTGGCTCAACCCCGTGCAAGCGCACCCAAAATCCTCGGTGCCTTCCTTTGGACGCATCCTTCCCAGGGCCTGCTTGGTGATCAGTAGCCCCTGCGTGGAGCTCTTATCATCCAGTGCACGGCGGGAGGACGCACAGAGGCCCCGCACACACGGAACTCATGACCTGTATACATAGGATGAGGCTATAACTCTTGCTGGATTCAGAGGGGCTCACTTCCGATTCAGTTGCGGGTGCAAGGGTTGTGCAAACCTTCACTTTCAAAGTGAACAACTTGATCCTCAGAAGATTTTCACTGGTTTCAGTTTTACTGCCTACCAACTCACATCCTGTGTCATCCCTGTTCCGTAACAGTGGATCCACATGACTCCCGCAAGGCCTGACCATGTATCATGTTGCTATCAGTGAAGGATGTTGCATGACAGAACACCATTGCTATTTTAATAAGATTTGTCATGTACTAGTTGTAATCACTGTGCAGAAATCACCTTCGTGGGAATCCAACCACTGCCTTCTAATCAAGCCAGTGAGTCAATGCTTGTTAGAAATGTGGAAGTGCTTGTTTCATAGGAATGCTAGGAATGATTCGCTAGGAACCACTAGTCCCTTTATGGGTTTAAATTGTTGTTGCTGGTTTTGATGTTATTAGATTTTTTAAAAATCACATCTTTCCTACCACCAGCTACAAGGCAGCTAAAAATTTGCAATCTTTCAAAAAATTCAACAGCAACTCAAATTGCTTTAAAGCATGTGGTATTATTTATTTATTTATTAGATTTATATCTCACTTATTTTAAGAACCCAGAGCAGCTTACATCATTCTCCTTCTTCTGCTTTCAGTCTTATCGCCACAGCAAGAACCCCGTAAGGTAGGCTGGACTGAGAGTACTTATAGATCAACAATTTCCAGGGGCTCTTTGCTAAGAATCATGAAAGTTAAATAGGTTAAAATCTAATTGAAGGATGTAGTAGAGACCAACCAGGCGAAGTAGTACTTCTCTTATAACGTACATCTGAAAAGCTTCAGCTTGAACTACTTTGCATTTTGCGTGTAAGTCCCGCTTGTACAATCTGGTCTTACCAAGAATGCCGCAATCTGCAATATCATTTTAGAGTGCCATCTTATGAATGTTTACTCAGAAATTGTAACAAGGTGTATTAAAATCAGTGTTTCACCAAATCTGATGGAGTGAAATCTCAGTTAAGTGCATCTAGCAGGGGTTGGCAACAAGTTCTCTCAGACTGCATGTTACTTTTAGCACCTCCAGGTATCCCACATTACACTGGTCTACAAATTTTGGGCAATTATTGACCTCCGAGATAAAATGCGTTAATTCTTACATATTGTGATTAGATGAATTAGAAAGCAGGTGATAACGGTGCTGGCTGGGTAAAGTTTTCAAGATATTTTACAATAAAGATTTATACACAAGCAAGTATATTTGCCTACAAGGGAGGGAGGTGTCTGATGATCATGATGCCTCGTAACTTCTCATCAAAGTATGGTAGAACAATGAAAATGGTACCATATGGAAGTGTGTAAATTTATCTTCACTTTGAGAGTAAAGATTATTACCTAACTGTAATTGATTGTTCTTTTATTGCAAGGTACATTTGTCTTGCTCAGATCTATGCATCATACAGTTACATCTGGTGGCTTGTGGAAGTGTCATTGCTTCATATTTCCAAGGAACAGTTGCATGATATGTTCCCTCAGAAGCCAAGATGCCTCAGAAGCCAGAGAAGCCAAGATGGCAGTGGTAAAAAAGGCATGCCACCTATATTTTGGAGGCAAAATAGGGGATCAAGACAAAAGTTGGGTCCCTTGTTATTGTTGCTTTACATGTGCAACTTATCTGCATCATTGGCTAAACAAGAAGAAAAGGTCCATGCCTTTCGCAGTCCCAAAGGTGTGGAGGGAACCCACCAATCATAGTAGCGACTGATATTTTTGCATGGTTCTCCCAGTTGCAAAAGGGATCTCAAGAAAGAAGTGGACCATGGAATATCCAAACGTTCCATCTCCACTGCGTCCCGTACCCCATGGTGAGGACTTGTCAATTCCAGATCCACTAGAATCCTACTCTCTAGACTCAGATGATGATAAAGACGATGAGCTTGTCAGTTTCTCATGCAAAAAGCATGAAAATGTTACAAAAAAACCAATAAATGAATGGAAAGTTATGTTATTGGTATCAATAAAAAGATAAATTTATAATGATTGGTATGGCACCATTCTCATTGCTATATCACATTTTGCAGAAAAGTTATGGATAATCACACATCCCCCTCATAAGTCTGAATTTTTTAATGCAATTTTGACCTGAAGCTGTATCTTGGAAACTGCAGCCAATTAATACTCAGGACTGAATTTTCCTTTATTAGTGTCCCAATTCTGTTAAAATTTAGCTACTTTCATTTCCGAGGCTTTCTCCCTGTAGACCAGTGTTACAATTTGTGATAGTAGCAGCAAAAACAATAGCCAGTATGTTGCCGAAAAATCTGTGGCAAGCCACTGACGAATCCTAAATCATTCACATCCCATATGATTTTTGGAGACAAATCAGCCAATGGTGGTGGGGGTCTTGTAGCGTGCCACCTGGAGGGAAAGGATTTGGGGGCCAAAAATGGCCCCAGATCCTCTGAATTTTCTTCACTTTGGTGGTTAGGATCTGCAGGTTTAGTTTTCCTTTTTAAACTTGGAGGAACACAAATATCAGGTGACAGAAATAAACAGTCCCCAACTGTCTGATTTACCACAGAAAACTGTCCAGTAAGCTCATTCTAAAATGTAAAAGAAAGGAAACCTTCAAAAATTATGTATCTTCAGTGCTACTTTACAAGTCTGCAGCCTTGGAACCAAGTTTGATAACCCTTAAAATAGAGTTTAACTATGACTGGAAAAAAAATTACCCAGCAATCCCCCATAACCACAGCCAATATCAGCAAATTCTACTTGACATGTAGGCTTGGCCTTCTCCTCTGTATCTTTGGGGTCATCATGGAGATTGTCTTGGTTTAAAGGGGCAACCAATTCCGGGTACAGCTCAGACCAGTCCATTTCTTCAGGCTTGGAAGGACTAACAGAAAAGAAACAAGAGAGCTTCCTGTAGCAAAGCTGCTGAAAATAAATTATATGGAGCATAGTGTTTCCTAGTAAGCAACATGATTTTGACTTGAGGAATTATGTTTGTGAAACAATTAATTTCCACTGTTGCAAACTATCATTCAGTCTACATAGGCAAACACTTAGAGCTGCTATATGACACAGAATTTCAGTAAATCACATCTCCAGACTTTCAAGAGTCAGCTAATATGACCATCTGGTCAAAAGGCAACCGAAACAAGATAAGTAGGGGACTATAGCCTAACACTAACCACAATTATGTGCAGCCAAATTCCAGTGCGATTAACGGAAATTACTCTCATTAGAGATGTCCTCTTCCATTCATAGCGTTTAGGAATGTACCTTTTAAAAAGTATATTTCCTTACAGCCTAAAGGTCAATGCTCTTAACCAAAAAAAGGCACAAATATAAGCATATGAGAAATGGAAAACAGCTTAAAAACCAAAGTGCACCAAAACACTAAAAAGGAAGTACAGCCAACAGCAGGTATAAATATACCCAGGAGGAGGAGGTTATTACTTGGCATTGAAAATACCACAATGGAGGTGCCAGGTGAGCCTCTCAGCTGGTGTGGGAAAGGAATCCCACTAATGGAGAGTTACCACTTAAAAGGTTCTCATCCTGGTAGCCAGCTACCTCAGCTCATTTGACAGGGGTACCCAGGAAAGGACCTCGAAGAATGACCTAAGGGTCCAGGCAGGTATATATGGAAATAGGCCATTTTTCAGGTAATCTGGACCTCAGCTTTCAATATTAACAGGATGAGAATTGGGCCTAGAAACGGATTGGAAGCCAGTGGAGATTGCAGCATTCTGGAATAATGTGACTGTAGCATCTAGTTGCTATTTACTAATCTTGCTGCCCGTTTTTGGACCAGTTCACATTTCTGAACCACTTCCAAAGGTAGCAGCACACTTATTGTTATCACAGTGAATACAGTGCAAACTTCAGTTTGGAATAAATCCTGCTAAACTCAGTGTGGCTTATTTCTAAAGGAAGCTGTACAATAAATATGTAACCAGGGTGCAATGCAGCCCCCCACTTCCCAACTGTACACACATTTTCGCAGAAATAATCCCCATTCTGTACACTGGAACTCACTTCCAAGCAAACACACAAGATCACAGCCTAGGGCATGGGTCCTCAAACTACGGCCCGCGGGACGGATCCGGCCCGCCATGGCCATCCATCCGGGCCACGCCGCCGTTTGCCGCCCACACGCATGCTTGCTGTGCGGGCGGGGAGGTGGTGGCTCACTGGATCGGAGATGGTCTCCGAGCGAACAAGCCACTACTGCGCATGCCTGATGCTGCCTCGCACGTGCCCGACGGCACCTCACCAGCCCGTGCTCCCAGGCACCCCCACCCCACCGACCTGCGCATGTAGCCACGGCCTTTCAACTGGTCCCCTATCGAAAAAGTTAGAGGACCTCGGCCTAGGGCATACTCTGGAAGCAAGTCCCAAAGGCATCAATACAATGCATTATCAAGATAGGGTCAGACTATTGTAGTTAAACTCAGTGGGTCTTACTTTTAAGTAAACATGCATAGGATTGCACTGCTATTCTCTCACAGTTCACTATGAGCAGTGCTGTGGGAAGCCTGTGGGAAGCCACTCTCCTGCTAATGAAGAGTGCAGGATAATGAACATGCGTGTTGAAGGAGCAGGTCATAGCAGCAAAGCATGTGCTTTGGATGGAAAAATCTCATGTTCCTTAGCAGCAACCTGTTAACGGACATATGGGAAATCTACAGCACATGTGCTATCAGCTAGGCAGTGGGGAAAAATCAAGCAACATTCAGGAAGAGTGGGAGTTGAAGGTTCCAATTCTGTGCATTATTTTCAACCACATCCCAGGACACCCGATTTAGTCATCTGGCCCTGGGATGTCAAAACTAGTGTTCCCACACAGCTGTTAACCACAGTCCTGGCTGCAGAGAAAGGACAAAATGGGAAAGCAAGGGTGTGTGCATCGCAGAAATGTGTGGGAGATCTATGCATTTTTGAAAGAGAATGTAAGTAGAAAAAAAGGATGCACGTGTTTCAGGAAAAACGGAGAAAAGCTGTGACAACTCTGACCGCACCCACTGGCAGGCTTGCAGCCCCGAACCACATGCTTCGCTCGGGGGGGGAGATCACCCACCCCGAATTAGAGGGCCTCAAGTGGCATGTTTAGTAAAGGCCTCTGCTTGGGCCCTCGGAGAGACACTCCAGGCAAAGCCGGCTTGTTTAACTCAGTACAAAGAAGCTTTATAACCGTATTCTTTGAGGAACGGGTTCAGGGTTGCGTGAAGCCCGACCGTACGCTGGTTTCCTCAGAAGTAAACCCCACTTAATTCAACTAGACCTGATCCCTCGAGAAAATCGACAGGGTTAGCAGCGGAGTAAAGGTCAGGAACTGAAGGGCCAAGGGTTCAAGTCGCATTCACACTCACTAGCACAGGGTATGATCTGCCAGTGGATTGGAGTGCGCACGCTGCCGGTAGAAGCGTTTCTGCGGCGCCGTCGCCAAGCCCACCCCCTCCATGGTCGGAGAGTTAAGGACCTCACAATCAGAACCCAAACCACGTGGAGCCTGCAGTAAATAGGAGTCGCGGAGGAAATACGTCATTCACGAGCGAAGGCACGAGACGACGTCAATTGGTCAGGCGACCAGCTTAAAGGGCCAGTGCCACTTTTGTCTTCAAGGTCTTGCAACGCTCCTTTGTTGAATGCAGCAGCTGCGGTTGGAAAATGCGCCGCATGGTGTTGATGAGCATCTTCTGCCACATGAGCGAAGATGTAGCTCTTTTCTATTGCATAGTGAAATTGCTGGGACTGTATTGTATTATCTGCACGATTTAGTTGCAAGTGTATTGTTGTGTCAACTCTCCAGCTCATCTCCATTTTCCGTAGATCAAGCAGGACATTGGCGAGGGTGTGACAGGAAACTTTTTGAAGGCTCCCAGGAACAGCAACAAGGTGGCTTGCAACGAAGATCAAGAAAACAGCGGGCACTTCAGGGCCACCTTGGACAGAATAATACGTACTACTTCAGTGGGGGCTATCAGAGCTGGTCGCCCGTCCCTCTTTCCCCAGCAGAATCAGGAGATGAGACTGTAGGAAGCATGGCCTTTTATTAAGGCTTAACAGGCCCCAGAACAGTATCAGTCGAAATAGCCTTCTCCCCGAGATGTGGGAGAAGCACCTGCTCACGTGCAGAGTTGCACCCAAGCGGGACCTTCCCCTCCTTCCCTCCCTTTCAGGAAAGCTCACTCCTCGGGGTGGACCCTGCAGCTTTCGAGCCAGACAGTGGAAATGGTGGGCGCGTCGTGTCGGCCTGCTTGCTTCCTGACTTCTCCTGACCTGGCCAAGGACCTCCCTGGCACGCTGCCTCCTGCCAGTTGGGAAGGGTCCCCCTTGTTCCCCAAGAGGTCTGGTTCCATGCCCTGTCTGAGACTCCCCCGGGCAACCTTGAAGCCACCAGGTCTTCCCCTCTGCCCTTCCACTGCCTCCTCAGAATATGAAAAATCTATCTGAGAGACTGCCATGGGTGAGAGCTGAGCCTCCTCTCTTCAATGACCTCACCACAGCAGATGGGATAAGAGAAACAGGAATGTGAGAAGGGGATGGGAAGAGGCAACAGAACAGATAAACAAAAGGGAAAAATGTGTGAAGACGCCTTCTCAAAACCATCTTGTGCTTTTTCTTTTGGTTGCTGTAGGATGCTCATAGTCTCATTTACTGGAATATCAGCAGTACAGGGGAATTTCTGATATGAAACTGATAGAATGATTCATGCAATAATTGGCTAGATGTCAGCTGTTTCTAATTTAAGAAACAGTTTACTACATTGTCAAGAATTTCAGAGCTGACTTGTTCCATCACGGCCAGGAATCTCCAGAAAGTTTTCAAGATGAGCGGGAAAGGAATCAACATAGCCCAGTGTTAAGTCCAGCTGTCAAAGTAATCACTTTGAATTTCATCTATGCTGGAAAACACCCCACACACACACTCATTCTTATAGAAAAGGAATTATGTTAAGGTCCTGGTTGTCCCTACAACAGAAAAATGTAGGGACAACCAGCTGATTGACACAATTCTTCTGGAGTGTCCTGGCCCTGCTGATGGAGCCAGGTGGGCTTCCTGATTTTCCAGGGAGCTTGGAAAAATAAAGCAACAAGTACTTCAAGTTATGTGCTGGAGAAGGAATGCAAGAGACAAATCTGATCATGAAAGTCTGTTCTGTTTTGCTGAGGGAAGCAAAGAAATCTTCCTGATCTAATACCATTGCATCCTTACCGAGTAATCCAGTGGAATCTTCCATATCACATCAAGGACCTTGTACATTGCAAATAGAAGACTATATGGCCTGCTATGACCACTGTCTTTTCATGTGGTAGAAACTTTGCTCCCAAAGCCCTTTTCTTCCAAGATGCTACGTATAATCACGCATCACACTAACCCGCCCTGGCAATAAGCCACAGCAGGCTGATTGTTGTGCAGTTGGGCTCCCTTTGGGTTATTGGCCCTCTCCTTGGTCCTCCCATGGATACTGAGGACCAAGTTGTCTCCCACTTGCCACCAGAATTGTGAGCTGCTGCTGGCTTGCCATGGCCCTTTTCCCCATTTACGCTTTTACCAGTCTAACAGATGACTTTTGCAACTCATGCTCCAGCAGTCCCCGCAAAGTGCCTGGCTTTCTGACATTTTCAGAACCTTTATCAGCATTAATATTAATAAGAAAGTTGTGTGTGAAACACATTTATTGTTTCAAACCTATGCATGCTTAGACACAAAAAACTCCCAGCATGCTCTAGCCAGCCATGCTTGTTGGGGCATGGTGGGACTTGTAGGCCTCCGTGTGTATGGCTAAATATGCATAGAATTGCACCATCCCCGGCAGGTGAATCGTCTTTCATTTTCTCAGTCTGCTGGTTCTGACTGGCTGTTTTTTTGTTTTTTTAACCATCCATCGCCACCACTTCTTTGAGCCTGTTCATCTTGCCCAGGCAGCATTCATCATGTTTTGTGCGTCACACAAGCTTTCTGCGAAGGAAAAAAAATATTGTAAAGCACCAAAGTATTCCTAAGAATAGTTTCACAACTTGAGCAGTGTCTGTGTCTTCTCTCATACCTGCCATACCCAATGTGACACCACATCCTTTCCTTCTACATTATTCAGAAATGTTGAAGAAGAAATGCTTGTGGTTACGCTTATTATTAGAAATAAATATGTGATTCCCCCACCCCACCAGCTCTTAAATGAAATTCTCTGCAGAAAAATCATTGCCAAGAATGAATATCAAGGGAGTTCTCCTGGACCTCTCGGTGGCTTTCGATACCATTGACCAAGGTATCCTTCTGGATAGGTTGGCCAGGTTGAGTTGGAGGCCCTGCATGGCAGTGGTTCCATTCCTGTCTGGCCATTTCCAGTAGGTGGTGCTGGGGGATTATGGCTCTGTGCCATGGCAGCTTTGCTATGGGGTACCGCAGGGTTCCATTTTGTCCCCCATGCTTTTCAACATCTACATGAAACTGCTGGGAGAGGTCATGGACCCATTCTGGTAACTTCCCAGTTGAATTACTGTAGCACGCTCTACGTGGGGCTGCCTTTGAAGACGGTCCAGATACTTCAATTGGTTCAGAAGAGAGCTGCCAGGATGTTAACAGGGACCAACTGGTTTTCACATATAATGCTGGTCCTCTACCAGTTACACTGGCTACCAATTGAAGTCCAGGCCCAATTTAAGGTGCTGGCTATGACCTAAACAGCTTGGGTCCAGGATACCTGAAGGAGCACCTTCTTCCCTATCTGCCCTCCCACCCCTAGAGATCTGAGGTGGAGGTCTTGCTCCAGGAGTCCTCCTTGAAAGAAATTAGGAGGGTGAGTACCCAGAGGAGGGCCTTCTCTGTGGTGGCGCACTGACTATGGAATATGCCCCCCAAGAGGTTCACCTGGTACCAATTTTCCCACTATTTTAATGTTTAATTGATTTTAACTGGGGTTTTAGTATATTAATTGTTGGATGCTGTGGTGTCTGTTTTATTCTACTCATTTTTTGTATGCCATCCCGAGATGTCTGTAGTAGATGGATTAGAAAAGCTTTAAATAAATAAATATCTAATCTCAGTTTATTTCAGCTTTCTCTAGTCTGGTTCCCTTTAGATCTGTAGGACAACAACTCACACTGGTATGTAATTATGGGAATTGTAGTCCAACATGTCTGGAAGACACATGATGTGGGGAGGCTCATTTATTTTAATGATCAGGAGAAAAGTTTGGACAGCAAACCATTACTGTTGGAAGCTGTTTTATAAAAGGTGGGAACGTGGTCCAGTGGGAATTGAAGAAATGTTGATGTCTCTGATAGAAAACCCAAATGAACCCCCACTTTCATTAAAATTTTATATGGACCATGATAACCAAAAAGTTCTCTTTGGATTGATTGATCGATGTGTTTATAACATGTAAAATAAAACTTTAAGTTTATAAAACTGATTTTGTTTATAAAATTTATAATGCCAAAGCAGGGTATAATGCTAATAGCAAATACTTAAATCATACCAAACTGACAGTAGCCAATGAAACACTCCTAAGTAAGTACACAAATATTATAGATAAACAGCTTTATAATGCACAGCGACACAGGCATGGTTCACACATCAGCACAACTCAGACTTTGGGCTGCCACTGAATCACGGGAAGAGAACCCGTGGTTTCTTGTTTGTAGTTAACAGTCCACGACTAAACCATGGAGCAGGGTTTGCACATAGCAACAACCCATTATTCAACCCATTCTCTGAGATCTTGTTCTGTGAGAACTAAGTCACTGATTTAAACATTAGTCTGGGTAAACAAACAAGTCTTTAGTAGGAGATGAAACCTTCAACATGAACTGTGAGGAAGTTTCCTAGTTAGTTTCTTTGTGGTCAATATTGTTTTCTCGGGCAACCATATATTAAATTCCTGGCAAGTCGGGCATCATCTTGAGGGCATCTTCCTGATTTATTACCTAGGCAGCTATAAAAAGGAGAAGTTGTTTTACCTGGTCACCAGATCTTGAGCCACAATCAACACCAACATCTAGAACTTGACTCCATAGCGTATTTGTATTTAAGTAAGGCCTGCATAGGGTTTCCAAGTGAGTTGGGCCCAGTGGGTCAGATTGCTTTTAAGAAGGCAACCAAGCTCCCCTGCCTGAAGGGACAACCTTACCCTACCTTAATAATGTAAGCCACGTTTAGTCAGGTCACTTTAGAATGTGGTGCAAAGGGAGATTAGAATGTGTTTCTTGGTTTTACCAAATTTTGCTTGTTCATTTTCTTCAGTTGAGTTAAATTATCAGTGAATTGAAAAATTCACCCAATTCTTCCCCTGCTGACTTTCCTGGGAAGTCATAACTTCTGGTTTTCTTAGAAGGCAGCTTCCTCCTCTGACTACTGTACTACCAGTAATGTCCAACCAGCAGGTTGAAGTTGCCAAGTTGATGGGAATGTACCAAATTGTTCTTCCATTGGCAGCTACTGAGATGACTCAGGTCTTCTTTATCTCAGCATAAACACAGGATACCCAAGAGGCACAGCT